CCGGCTCCCTGACCCACCTCCGCTCAGCCCCGCCCAGCGCAGACCAGCGAGCCCGGTGCGATGGAGGGCCGAGTGCAGCTGATTAAGGCCCTCCTGGCCCTACCCCTCAGGCACCGGAGGCGTCGGTGGAGGAACCCGATTCCCTTCCCCGAGACGTTCGACGGCGACACCGACCGGCTCCCGGAGTTTATCGTGCAGACGGGCGCCTACATGTTGGTGGACGACACCCTGTTCTCCAGCGATGCCCTGAAGGTGACGTTCCTCATCACCCGCCTCACGGGGCCTGCCCTGCAGTGGGTGATCCCCTACATCAGGAAGGAGAGCCCCCTGCTCAATGATTACCGGGGCTTCCTGGCCGAGATGAAGCGGGTCTTTGGATGGGTGGAGGACGAGGACTTCTAGGCCAGGAGACCCTCGGGCCTGGGGACAGGTGCTCTCGGGGGAGGGTCCCCGCGCCGGTGGCTGCCGCCCAGACCGCCACAGGCGTCCTCCCACCGCGCCTCCCCGTGCCCGTGTTCCGTGGCGGTGATCTCCCCCGCGCTCCTGTTCCCTCCCGCGTAGTGCTTGCCTTTGTTCCAGGAATAGCGCCCCAGGTTCCTGCTCTGCTGCAGCTGGGCCTGGCTCCGGAGCGCGCCGCCGCCCTCTCCCGCCAGCCGGGCCCCTCCCGCGCGGACTTGGACTCTGTCCTGGGCTCCAGCTGCGAGCTGGGCTCCCGTTACACACTGGACAGACCCCCACAGACCAGCCGTTGCCAACCTCTCCCTGCCAGGCTAGCAGGCCTGCATGGATGTGCCCAGGGACCAGCGCTGTGGCTGCCATCACCATCCAGCACCTCCCACCTACAGGCTGCAGCCTCCAGCGATCTCGTCTCACCCAGGAGGTATCTGAGCTGGCCACAGCCCCTGGACAGTGATTCCAACAGCTCGCCAACCCCTTGGAGGGGCCGGCCAGCCTTTCACCTTCAGCGGGAGGGGCCCATTCCCTCCCTACTCCCCCAGACACCTTCTATTCCTGCCAGATGGCTGCCAGGTCCCAGGGGTGCCCCGCAGCCAAATCGAGTCACTCGTTTTCTCCTGTGGCCTGTTAGTTTTGCTCAGCACCCAGTTCTCTTCTGAATTTGCAGCTGTCTCTCTGATGTGTGCCTTTTGTTCAACACAGTGACCCTGCACTCTGCCCAGCTCTTCTACACTACCTAGACAAAAGTCTTTTCCTTATTTTCAATAAATGTCAGATGCTATTAAAAAAGAAATTGAGTCTCAATTAATGTGGGGCCTCTCCCGCCCTGGTCCAGTACATGGGGTCTATGTCTTGTTCAGCAGGTATGCCCCCTGCCATTCTGTGGCTGACGTTGAATCTTGCCCTATAAAATAGCAGTGGTAGTCCTCTGGTGGTCCTGGAGATGGAGACCCCTCTGCTGATCATGCAATCCCAGATGCTGACTCTTCCAAACCACTCAGTTCCATGCCCCTTAGGAAGTGGGCCTTGATCTGATTTTGGCCAAGGTGATGTAAGGAGAAGTCAGCCAGGAGGCTTTTCAGAGAAGGTCTCTTTCCAAAAAGCTGCTTGAAAGCACAACACCTGATTGTTACAAACCATGAGTCCCACACCTTTGTTGGTGAACACCTATCAAAGTGTTATTTGACCCATTATTCAGGGAACCAGTAGAATGATAGAGGTGCTTAGAAAATGAATTAACATTTTTGGAGCCTTGATCCTCTAAGTAAGTACTGGGGAAAGGATTGCAGAACTGCCCTTAATTTAGGTACAGACCTGGTTATGCAGGACCATAAAATTATAACCTATTCTAACAGGCAGAAAGTTAAAAAGAAAAAACGCATTACCCTCTGCATGCTAACTTCTTACGTCCACAGTGCTTGCTGATAAAAAGCCTCTGCTACCTCATGAGTGGCCGGGAAAACTTGTATCCCAATAGTCAGATAAAGGTGGGCTTGTAAGACAACACTCAATCAACTCTGCCTCATTTCTAATTTAGGTGATTTTTCCGGAACGTATGAAAGAAAAATCAATCACAGCAGTGATTTTTATTGTCTTTCCTCTCTCCTTATGAACAGGTAAATCGTTGCCCTTCATGTTTAGTTGTTCATAAGGCTGTCCATGGATCTAGACGTGCATTATCTTTGTTATGTATATGACAATGCACATTAACTTACAACTTGGCATGTAATAGATCAAACTCTTCTTGAAATTACAGGGAACATTTGAGTTAATACAATGTGGTTGTTATGGTTCACAGGTTTCTTAAGACAATTGAAAGCAGCTAATTATATTGTTCTAGTTGAACATGCTGGCAGTCTGCCTTCCTGGATGAGGTGGAAGGGTGGTCGTGTTAAGCATAATCACTGTTTGGTTTTAAACACAGATTCTGTTAAAGTGGTTTGAAAATTGTTTAGAAGCAGTTTACTTAGTGAGTAGGTCCCTATGAATATTCCCTACGACCCGCGTCCACTTGGCTCTAGAGGTTGGTAGCATGGCTATCCTTTGAACAATGTCGGTAACACCCTACCTCGCTCAACAAAAATACCCCTGCGATTTTCTTCCTCCTGCCAGAATGGCTCTCTTAGGGATTGTTCCTTGGACTACACTGATTGCATCATACCAACTCATCTTTCATGCCGAAAATGTCTTTGGAGACTTGATGGTGTAAGTACTGTGGTAAGGAATGCAGAACTGCGGTGAAGTTAGGTACAAACCTGTTTGATGACATGCAGGACCATGCAATTATAACTTTCTCAGGCAGAAAAGGAAAAAAAAATCAAGACTCCTTACAGGGACAAAGGAATGACATTTGCTAGCGAGAAGGGAGTTTCTTTCTTACTATTTTGCAAGCTCACCCCTTCCAATTGTCATTTTTGGCTTGTTTCCCTCACCTTATTCTAGCAATCGACTCAATACCCAACCAAGAAGCCTTAGCTCAGAAGAAGGAAGAAATATAAAGACTGACAAAATGGAAGATGGATGTAAGAGGGACATATAAAAATTCAATTAATCTTCTAAACATAATATGTTGTAGACTTTCAGGTTGTTTCCACTTTTTGGTATTTATTCATGGTATCTACACTAATAAAAGAGAAAAATGGTAATTGGCGTACGACCGCTACCCTTCCCATTGGCTAATCAGCATATCCTTATGCAAATTAACTGTCAGCCAAGATGGCGGCCGGCAGCCAGGCAGCTGGAAACGAACATGAGGCTTGCTTGCTGCAGTGACTGCAGACTGCAACGTTCCCCGCCTGCGCTGCCGGCCTCTGAGCCGGCAGTTTGAAACATTCTAACAAATATAGCCGGCTGGGATCTCAGAGCTGAAGTTATACATTGTTTCGATTATAGAACGGCAAACAAACCAGCGGAAGCCTCAGAGCTAGAGCCAGAGCTAAAGCTGGCCCAGAATAAAAAAAAAAAAAAAAAAAAAAAAAAAAAGGAGTGGTTGGGAGCTTCAATCAACAACCGCCAGCCTGAAAGCAGCCCTCAGCCCCTCACCCAGACTGGCCAGGCGCCCCAGTGGGGACCCCCACCCTGAAGAGTGTGTGACCAGCTGCAAACAGCCATCATCCCCTCATCCAGGCTGGCCAGGCACCCCAGTGGGGACCCCCACCCTGATCCAGGACACCCTTCAGGGCAAACCAGCCGGCCCCCAGGCCTCTATCCTATATAGTAAAAGGGTAATATGCCTCCCAGCACCGGGATCAGCGGAGCGGAGAGGTCTCCTGGCACCGGATCAGCGTGACAGGGTGCAGCGCCCAAACCCCCTGATCGCCCTGCGGCTCTGTGTGTGACAGGGGGTGGCGCCCCAACCCCCCCCCCCCCACGGGCCCTGCTCTGTGTGTGACAGGGTAGAGCCATAACCTCCCCATTGGCCCTGCCCTGAGTGTGACAGGGTGCAGTGCCCCAACCCCCTGATCCGCCCTGCTCTGTGTGTGACAGGGGGCGGTGCCCCAACTCCCCTATTGGCCCTACTCTGTGAGTGACAAGGGGGAGCTACTCAACCCCCTGATGGGCCCTGCTCTGTGCATGAGAGGGGGGAGCTCCCCAACCCCCTGATGGGCCCTGCTCTGTGCGTGACGGGGGGCAGCACCCCAACCCCCTGATTGGCCCTGCTCTGTGCATCACAGGGGGTGGCGCCAACCTCCCCATTGACCCTGCCTTGAGTGTGATAGGGGGCAGTGCCCCAATCCCCCAATCAGCCCTACCCTGAGCGTGACTGAGGGTGGCATCGCAACCTCCCAATCCACCCTGCTCTGTGCATGACAGGGGGCGGCACCCCAACTCCCCAATCGGCCCTGCTCTGAGCCGGACCAGGGGCTGCACCTAGGGATTGGGCCTGCCCTCTGCCACCCAGAAGCAGGCCTAAGCCAGCAGGTCGTTATCTCCCGAGGGGTCCCAGACTGCGAGAGGGCACAGGCCGGGTTGAGGGACCCCCCTTCCCCCCCGAGTGCACAAATTTTTTGTGCACCGGGCCTCTAGTGTTATAAATATTCACATACAAGTTTTTGTGAGGATGTATATTTTCAGTTACCTTGAGTATATACCTAGGAGTAGAATTACTGGGTGGCTGATATGGTAACTCTGTGCTACAAATGAATATTTTTAGGAACTGCCAGACTGTTTTACACAGTACTTGTACCATTTTACTAGCAATGTATGAGGTCTTTAGTGTCCCCACATCCTCACAGCAGTTGTTATTTTTTTTTAGTTTTTTTATAATGACTTTCTATTCAGTAAAATTGTAAAATTTTATTTAGTATTTCTAATTGTTTTTAGATTTGTTTGGATTTTGTATGTACACAGTCATATCTTCTTATAATGGCTTTTATTTCTTTTCCAATCTTAATATCCTTTATTTCATTTTATTTGCTAGTTGTGCTGGCTAAGACCTCTACAACATTGTGAATTAAAATGGTAATAGTGGCCCTAGCGAGTTTGTCTCAGTGGATAGAGCACCGGCCTGTGAACTGAAGAGTCCTGGGTTCAATTCCTGACAAGGGTACGCACCTCAGTTGCAGGCTCCTCCCTGGCCCAGGCCCTGGTCAGGGCGTGTGCAGGAGACAACCATTTTATGTGTTTCTCTCACATAGATGTTTCTCTCTGTCTTTCCCTCTCTCTTCCACTCTCTCTAAAAATCAATGGATATCTCCCATTTCCCCTCCCTTTACCCCCTCCCCCTCCCAACCCCTACTCCCCATCCCCCAAAACACACCGAAACTATTTGTATTTAAACCAAGGCAAGGCTGGTAGGTATGGAAAGCAGGGGATGGATTCCAGAAAACACAGGAAGTGGAGTGTTACTAACTGGATACAACATGGGAGAGAAGGACATAGCCCTCTCAGAGATGACTCCTGATTTGGGGGGGGAGGGGGGCAGGGGACTCCACCCAAGGTAGGGAACCAAGGAAGAAAAGAATGGTGTTTTTGGCTTTAAAAAAAAGCAGGTTCAGGTTGGAACATTTCAAGTTTGAACATTTGAGACTGCCATGGGCAGTTAGATCGATGATCAAAACCTGCTTGGTTACCATGTTGAAGGGCTAGACCTCGGCCTTGCAAGGCAAAAAACCCATTCTTGCAAAAGTCAAGAATTGAGGCAAACTCACCAGAAACCGAGCTACAAACTAGAGTGCCAATCAGCTTTCATGACAGAACTATAGTGGTCAAAATAAACCACCAATATGAATTAGAAAGCAGAAGTATTCTTAACGGAAAGGGATCCCAGGATAGGTGCATTTTAACAGGGTAGTGGGGATACAAAGACCTCAGGAGCCCCAGGTGAGTCCTAATAGTGTGAAGTTCCATGAGGATTCCAGAGGGGGAGAAAAGGTGGCTGCCTGTGCAGTTTTAAGCCCTCTGTGGCCTGAGAGGCTGAGCAAATCCTTATGCTCCTTGGAAGACACAAGTGATGGAAAAGCACAGAGAGTGGTGGGTGGAGGCAGAGGACAGAATAGAGTGAGGGGCAGGAATGTGGCCTGGCTCTTGTCCTTCACTTTTCTTCCCAGAGGCGCCCTCCTGGAGAGTCAGTACCAAGAAGCTTGCTCTGTGGCTGTGGGAGGCCAAAGGTGCAGGCACACTAAGATGCCGTGTGTCTCCAGCAAAGCTGGGGGCCAGCAGAGGAAGGCTGGGAGCTTCAGGGAGGCTCAATGCGGATTTAAGCTGTAGTACAATCATCAAAGTCATGGAGTGACTGTCTTTCCAAATTGAGAAAAATGTTGATGGATAGAATGTCTTGTTTTATGTCACTGT